GCAGGCCTCTTCATTCCCGTGCTTCTCTGTCTGCAGTCGACTTTTGAGCGCTGCGTCAACTCGCCTACTTACTCCGTTTGTTTGGCTAACCTTTCTTCCCCCCCCCCCCCCCCCTCCCGCCGGGCCTACGGCTTCTTCGCTGGGATTGCATTGTACGCCACGCGCTGCCTTCGCAGTCAGTCATGTTGCCTGTCGCGTAGCTCCAGTGCGCGCGCGTTTCTCCGCCACGCCTAGCTCATTCGCGCCACGAGATACCTAATTGTTGTCAAAACTTTGGCGAGACATCATCGCCACTTGTTTACCGCGTGCTTTTCATACGCTGATTAATTATCCCAGCTCGCTCGCGACTTCATTTTCGCCTATACATTCTGCCTCCCTCGGATTGATTTAACGACGCTTATCAATCTTGATCAAATTTGCATTAGGCGGGCGCGCGCAAGGGATTTCCAATGACGCATATAGCTAAGTAGTTTTCTTCTTATTTTCAAGCCTTGGCAGTATTACGTCTTCGTCATCTTGACAAAATCTTCTCGCGCCTAGAATGCCAGTTGTTCGTTTAATTAAAAGCGTAAACTGATTTAGCCACGTCGGATTTGACGCTCAATAGTACAAGGGTCGCGTAGTATTTTTGAAGCAACTACATGTGGTAACACGTTGTACGCTTTATGATCATTTCAGACTAGAATAACTAAAGATCAGCTGGGAATAAATTACTGTCCCTATGCACTTATACTATTGTTGGTGATCAAATTTATTATCATATATGAAACGCGGCGTCACTGCCATCGTTAGATATAAATATTTTCACTGCTACGATACTTCATTTTATGATTTTACTTGTTTTTATGATGTTTCAACATTTGTATGCGCTCAACGTAAAATAAAAATTTACCATTCTATTTAATCAATCAATTATTCGTTACCCTCGAAAATAAGCGTTTATAACAAAGATTATCGTGCGCTGATAATCGAAAAATAGATTTTTAATCAAACGAATGATTATTTTCTGGATCTATAGCGAAATTTATAAAATGTAAAATTATCAAAAACCATAATTGGTTTATTTACAGTTGAATTTATATAGGCTGTGGATATGGTATTATATAAGATTCGCGCGAATTTACGATTTATAAAAATTGAAAATGTAACGCAGAATTTTTATTAGCGTGAAAAGGGCGTTTAAGCGTAAAATTGTCCAAGAATTCATGTATAAATACGAGTCGCCGACTACAGAGAGCAAAGTCGTAGTTTTGCTATCAATCGTCCACCACTGACAAACTTCTTTACAGCTCGGGAAGGCACCACAAGATTAATAAGCTTAACTTGATTCGTGGGATTATTTTTTGATCGAGTGACCCACAGTAAACTCCTTTTCTTGAGAAATCTTAGTGTTTCAACTCTTGAGGATTAAATTGCTCCTGAGCAAAAAGTGGACCTAATACTTACACTCTTTATCTCTGATATCAGGAAGTTATCGGGCTTATATCCCTGGTAGCGTTGACTATAACTTAGTTATATTTGACTCTATCGCTTAGAAATTCGATTAAGTAAATTTAGTCGATCTCTTTGAACGAGATTCTATAAATTCACTAGTGAAAATAACATTGATTAGGTGAATGTAGTGCGAGATGTAGAAATTGGGAATATGACAACTGATGAGCAATGAGTCCGAGATAGGCATTCGAAATAATGAATAAATCACTCGAGCGGTAATCAGTGCTAATTGATAAGCGCCCTCAGATCGATGCAATAGGTCAGCATGAAGGGAAGAGCTTATTGGAATTAAGCAGTAATTGAGAAGGCCAATGGCGCCGTGAATCAAAGTGATACTCGAGGCGCAGCAGCGGCAAGTCGGTGGGAAGGGGAAGTCGAAGCGTTCCGGCAGCCAAGCGTTTATTTCGGGGGAGTCACGTTTCGCTCCGAGAGGCCATTTGCCCCGATAGCCGCGTACACTAAACCTTTTAGTCTAGTCAGTCCCTTTTGCTCCCCTTGCAATTCCGAGCAGTCACTGAGCAAGCGAAAGCGACGAAAATAAACAATATTCTTCATCGCAGCGTATCCGCGTTGCCGCGATAAACGGGCGCGACGCACGGTTCGCGCGCCCGAGAAGCCGCCCCGCGCGAGTAGGCCTTGAAAAAAATTGCTAAGCGTGGGCATTTTTCTTCTGCTCTCACGGCTCGAGAAAGTACCGCGTCGACGGGATTTTTTTCATCGATGCTTCGCGCGCTGCGCGTAGGCGCGGCATATTGAACACGCGCAAGTCAATTTGCTTCATCTTTGCGCTCGCGTCCCGGAACGCTGATGATCTTGGGACAGCGAGATTGCTTTTTCGTATTTTTTGTTTTTTTTATTTTTTTTTTTTGCGGAAAAACAGATACGACCGAATGTTCACTTCTTCTTGAACGTATATAAAAAGAATATATACAGGTTTGTGTCCAAGCTATCAATTTTTATTTCGTTCAATATACTATCTGTCAATCAAGGCATTTGATCCTATTGTTCTCATCATTTGTTTTATTTCTGTTTTGACTCTAGCTCCAGCCCGTCTATAAATATTTCACTGTTAACAATAATACAATTTGTTCATAACTGTAATTTCAGGGGTTGTCTATTATTTCAGTTTCTCTGGGCAGGTTTCCAGCAATTTTATTTCATTCGTTTTTTGTATCTTTATTTGGCTATACATTTTGCGAGTTTCTGGGACTATTAGCCACAACGTTCGTTTGATATTAAATAATTGTTTAGCATTGCCCGGATGATCGACTTTTAAATGACGATTATTATATTAATTTTGAATTTTCAATATATGAACTGAGATTCGTGATATCGGCTTTAAAAATTTTCCAGTATAAATTTTTACGCAGACAGCTACATAACTATAAAATTTTTACCAAAAATAATATGCTCAATATTATAAAAACTTTGACATTGCTGAAACCTTCGTGAGTAAATTTAATTCAAGTTGTTTTTTAAGACGATTAAGTTCTAAAGAAACATCGACTGTGACGAATGACAATTACTATGAAATCATAAAAGAATATTAATTAAAAGTGGAAACGTTATTCTCTGTTTAAACTTCGCTTTTACCCGCCATTTTTGTGTGTAAATGTTGTTGTACTCGATCAGTGTATATTCAGTGAAAGAATCAAAATCTTGTTCGACCAGTCGTCAACAGATCTGTTAATTTCCACAGAAAAGCATTGACAGCAGTCAGTGCTCACGGTCAGAACAACATTTGTCAACGAAACCTCGTACAAGGTTTTAATTATTTCATTGCCTGCAACGATCGAATACAACGTCATTGTAATGCAACTCTGAATTGAATTTAATGATTAACTATTTCCGGATTCTTACATCTACTATACTCACATAAGGACAATGCATGAATTAATAAATTATTAAAAAGTCAAGTTTTTTGCTAGTTTATTGTGCAGGTGTGAATCATTAATTCCGATTTATTTTCAGACACAAATAGAATACCTTATTTATACTTGGTACTTCCTTGATGTAGTTAAATAATTGACCGCGCGCGGTTGGGCAAAAAGGTATGCGAGACATCCTGTCTAGACGTCTTAGACGACGCGCGAATTTCAATAAATCTGAAATTATACGAAAGAAGAGAAATAAAAAAAATTACACCTGGAAATATTCCCGCAACAGATACGTGACTCGTCGACCAGCCTACGACCATTCTGTCTCTCTCTCTCTCTCTCTGTCTCTGAAAGCCTTTTCATCCCCGTCAAATCCTTACGCGTACAACACGCGAGCGTCGCTATAGGAATCTAGTAGTGAGCACGTAATAACTGATATATCCCAATAAATAAGCGACCAGACACGTGTTGGACTATCGTCTCTGCGCGTGTACGGACAAAAAGCTGCTGAGCGCGCGCCGTCACGCGCGAAAGGCTTAATAACGCTGCATTCCAGGCAGGCAAGCGCAAGCACGCGGTTAGCACACCTGAGGGATTTTGAGTTATGACCGGCTAATGCGGTAATGTCCGTCTCTCTCTCTCTCTCTCTCTCTCTCTCTCTCTCTCTCTCTCTCTCTCTCGGCCGGCGAAGAGGAGGCTAGTATTAATTATTACGACTCCAAAACTCGATTCTCACCAGCAGCAGCAGCAGCAGCAGCTCCGTGGTTAAATGCAGGCCTCCTACGCCCTTTATTCGTACGCTGCGAGCGAGCGAGAATTAGCGTGCACGTGGCTTTTTGCCTGGCGCTCGGAGGCTGCTCGCACTGTGTGGTCTCCGCAATTTATTGTTTATTATCGGCAGTCGACCCAAAGTAAGATTTACAACGACCGGCTGCAGGTTCGCCGGAAAACTCGGCACGTTAATTTTTAATTTCGCGCGGACTCCGCGACTTAATTGCCGAGAAATATGATTGAATATGCGTGTAATGTAAGGAGATAACGACGTGGGGCGCGCGCGCATACTCTGCCAAGTATAACGCTCGGCGTAAGATAAATTTGGAGGAGCAGTTTTCAGGAGCAAACCGTATTTTTCGGATGGAATTTCTCACGAGCATCCGCGTATGATATGATTTGTTGATTGCGCGACGCTTCGCGAACACTTGGCTAAGCGCAACAAAGATCACTTTGTAAATTGGAAAATCGAGAGCGCCCAAACAGTTGCGCGATTGCGCACGAATTTTACGACGAAAACATTCAAGTACGTAAAATGTAGTATCGACGAGGTTATGATCATTGTGGCCGGCAATGAAAAAAGTGAGAGGCGGTTATTGGTTGTGCGTTCGGCAAGCAAACGAAGCGACCGAATTAAGGAAGAGGGCGACCTTGAACGTTGCTCAAAGCAAAGAGATTACGGAAGTGCGCGCGTTACGCGTCCGCGCCGAACCTCGATTTAGTAATTGTCACGAGGAGGTGTCCGGGCGCACGAGATGGGCTTTCGCCGCGGGTATAAAAGGCGTCGTTCGCTCGGGAAAGCGCATCAGTTGACGAGCAGTGCTCAACGCGTAGCCTCAAGCGACAACGACGATCGAGATGCTGCGCAAGTTAGCGATCATCGCCGCCCTGGTGGGCTGCGCTGCCGCCGAGCCGAAGCCGGGATTCGCCGCCGGAGGTCTTGCGATCGCTGCACCGACGCTCGCCTACGGCGCCGGCCTCGGCTACGGAGCTGGCCTGGCTTACGGACCCGTCGGCTTGGGGTACGGATACAGAGCGAGGATCGCTTCCCCGATCGCCGCCGCCGCCGCCGCCACTATCCCTGCTCCAGTATTGGCCTACGGTGGTCTCGCTTACGGCCCTCGTCTCGGTTATGGCTATTCCGGGCTCGACCGTAGCTACGGGTTTGGATACGGAGGTTTCGGACTCGCTCGGGGATACGGCTATTCCCGACCTATTGGCTCAGCTTACGGTTACGGCTACTAAGTCGACGTGCTCGTACACATGGATGAGCTTACAAGCCACGTTTTCATTGCATCTTCATTGAATTAACTTTTCTCGCGATCCGCGGAATGGGAGTTTCGATAAACAAGGAAACTATCAGTGTAATATTTTGTACAAATATTTTTTGTGGCGAAAAAATATATTACATTTTTATATAATCGTTTGCTTTGTTTCATTCTTAATTACCTGTCATGAATAATATTCTTTTAATATAAAAGGCTTAACCATTTAAACTAATGATTAAGAGATAACTCAAATTTTAAATAATATTTTATAACAAATTATAAAAAATAGTAAATTAGTTAAATAGGTGCGGTGCGAATTTCGGCGTAAATCTTTTGCCGAGCTTGTAGAAAAATGGGTAATCGACGAAAAAATAATTATAATTATTTATTCGATTCTTCTTGATCACTAATCAAACTTAAATAGAACACTTTATTGATCGATGTTTTCATATTTTTATTAAAATTTAAATAAAAAATCAACGATTACTTTTCTCAATTAAAATATTGAACTTATTAATCAATTGCTCTTATAAAGTTCAAATATAAGTCATAAAAAATCGAACTATTTTCGAATAACATTTCATTTACTCAAATGTTTATAATCGTGCGTCGCGTTAATTTTTTTCCTATAAGATATTGTATAAGGAGCTTCATTTGATAATTCGAGATTTAAGATTTTCAGAGATAAAGAATGGATATGAAGGGTTAAGCAGAGGAAGAGCGATTATGATTTAGAAAATACTTTGATTTTTACGTATAATTTTTGTCGAATCTGTAACATTTATAATGAAACTATTGTGCAAATATAAAAAATGTTATCCATTTCTCTGTGATACTTAAAATTAAAAATTATTCAGATTACTTTAGGAAAAAGTTTCATAGCGATATCTATATTAAAGAACCATTTTTGACCGTAATGAAAAAATGCAAAAATTTTCATGATCTCACATCAGGTATAGGGTAGTCGAACTAAAATGCGGTACAAATAAACAATTAGCAATGTAAAAATTTACAACAGTAGTTGAACGTTCAGTGCAGGTATGGTAGTATATATATTCAGCGTCGATATTTTTCAATCTCGCCTTTGTCTCAGTTTCAGAACACAGGATAACGTCAAGGTTTCTTTTTGCAATTGTGAACACGGCATTCGACAAACTGCAGCTTATGGCTTTAAACACAGGACCGGGAAAGGTAAGAAACATCCGGCAACCGAGAAAAGCACTAAACCCGCGATAGCGTCGTCGGCCTCGGCATTTGGCCACGGAATAAGCTCATTTTTTTCACGATTATTCTTCAAGAGCCGCCGCGCGCGTGCAGATCTTATATACTTTGTGCGTGTTTCGTATACCAGGGCAGCGCAAGACTTGGCATATCTAGCAAGTCTCGATGAATAGCAGCCCAGGAAATCAGCTTATGATTCTATACTCGACGCGCGTGCGTTCTTTCATACTTCATGCGCGCTTTCGTGGAATGTCGCTTTTTTCCGTTCTTTTTTCAATTCGAGAAAAAGAGATTTTCTAATAATTCGATGCTTTTTCGATGATAGAATTTTCAAAGCGTAGATTGGGTTTTTATTTCACGTGTGAAATGTCATCAGTCATGAAACAGAATGATCCTTTACAATAAATATTGGATAATGAAGTGATTTAATGTATCGTATGCTATTCTGAATATATATTTCCTCAAACGTCAAGACATGGATTTATCAAGGTTCAATGGTTTGCCTGTTTTTTTTTTTTAATTTCATGTAACTTACAAAATTGTTGTAGTATATAACCACTAGTTAATTTTGTTATACATCAAAAAATTTCCTTTCAACAAAACTTAAATATTTTTCATATGTTACCTTTTTACTTTCACGACTAGGAGAAGAATGACAAGAGACATTTTCAAATTAATCGCTGCAAAATAATTGAGCCATTGCATTATTAATATTGTATGATAATATAGGCATCATTAATATACATTCGAGTAAATGTTGGAGTATATATGATCGAGTCAATAAAAGTACTATCCATGTATTGCACGCGGTCGCATAAAAGAATGAGAAAGAATAATTCCCTGGCGAGATTCTTGTACGCGACGAGTGTTTACCGTCTCAATTTCAATACATATTTCTTGAAAACGCGACAGTTTGGAAAATCCGACGAACGCTAATTGAAGTCGTCCGCGAATATAGTTGCGTAAAATGGCGCGCGGGCGTATATTCGCGTGTATGTTCCGAAGGGAAATTCGGGGCGAGCCCACGCAGAGTCATCGGGGATAATGCAAAATGAAATTGTCACAATAATCGTCGACGAACGGGTATACACCGCGAGCGGATAAGCCCCGAACAAGTATCGAATTCTCTCTCTGGCGTCCCAGTGTGCATTGGCCACTTAGCCCTCTCTCTCTCTCTCTCTCGCTCACTCCCTCGCTTCGCGTCCGCGCGCTCGTGACAAAATCAAAATTATTTCAGCACACACGCGCGCGCGATCGACCCCTTTCAACGTGTGTTTCGCGCCTCATCTGCATGCGAATGAGCTGCGTCCGGTTTTGCATTCTTAATTGGTTCCCCCTTCATCTTTTTCCACTTTTTCCCCCAGCACCTCCACGAGCATTCCCTGAAATTTGCAAATGATCGACTGCTGCGCGAGCTTGGGAATTGGTCGGGTCGAGGGCTGTGCGATATCGACACTCATTTCATTGTAGATTGCGTGTAAAGTATTTTTATAAAACAATAATCGAAACTTGGTTATCGCGAGCATTCGAAAGTCATTACCGGATTGATTGAAAAAAAGAAAAAAAAGAAATAAAAATGGTTTCCGTTATACGGGCGAAAAGCTCGTCATGAAAAAAAGAGAGCGATTGCGCGAGCGTTAAAATTTTCTTTTTTTTTCTTTTTTTTTTTTGTTAAAAGCGTCGATTGAAAGCCATCCATTTCAGTAACAATAAAAAAAGGGAGAAAGAGAGTGGGCGCATCCGACGATAAACAAACGCAGGTGCTAGAAAAACACGAGCCAAAGTAAGAGGATAGTGGAAGGGGGTGGGGACTGATTGCATACGAGCTTGGATCCCAATAACGTAACGGCGTAAAATCCGGATAAATCTGCAATCTGCAAACAATGCCCCCTTCCCCAGCTCGTTACCTCTCCTAAAATGTTCCCGGCCGTCGGGGCTAAACGACTACAATTCCCAATGTCGCGCAATCGCACATGCCGTGTACAGTCGATACGGGAGCGCATATTCATGCTCTCGCCACGTTCAGCCTTATACGCGCGCTCGACGAACCTAATCTGCTTGCGCTACGGCTCACCTCGAATAAGACTAGTTCTCGCTCTCTCTTGCCCATTAACCGCTTATATTCATTGGCGATATGAGCCGCTAAGCGACAAGCGCGCAATGCCGCGCAACTTAGCCGCGGATTGCAAACCAACCGCCGCCCTTCATCCCCGGCCTTATGATATTGCGGATTTTCGAATTTTAACTAACGTTTAATCGGCTGCGCGAACGCGCCTCCCGATTGCCCGCGCAAAGCGCGCCACAATCATTTTCGGCGTTGCCATTTTCATTGCCTCGCATTGTGCTTTTGCCGTATTGCCGTGCGCCATCGACTTCAGTTTACGTTGAGAAAAAAGAAACTTCAAAAAATCTCAAGGTGTCCAAAACACCAGTCGATAATCCATTGCAACGCTACCTACAAATTTATAAGGGATCCACATTTGTTTGAAATTCCAGAAATGAATAAGTAAACTTCATTAAATGTTGATCGCGTTGGTGAAACCAACTCTTATGAATAATTTGATTGATATGCGCCGGAAACTCGCGACGATGTTGTGCGATGCTCATCGAAATCGGCGTCGTTCGATAAAATTACTCGTAGCACGCCCTCCAACAAGCTCTATCTCCGTCGATCGAAAATGACGCTACACGTCGCGCGAAAGTCCAGCACCGATGGCAAAAGCAAGCAGAGCGAGGCTGGAACGGCGAAATCGGCTGCGAACCAACATGAGAGAGAGCGAGAGAGAGAGAGCGGCAAACTCCCAAGAGTAAGCTGGCCTTGCGCGAGTTGGCTGCGAACAATCGGCAGCGAGGCGAGCGGGCGACGGGCCGTTGAAAGTGGCGGTGGCGGTGCGCGCTAATTTTCCTCGCGCTCGCTAACGAGCCCTTTGAGGTCGTAAGTTAGTCCGAAAGCTCGGAGCGGGGCTCGGAGGGGCCGGGGCGGCAGCTGGCGCGCGGGGCGCAAACACGTGCGTCGCGCACGCACGGCGCGCGCGAGTTCGCTGTGCCCTCCCCTCGGGCGAGCGCGCGCGCGCGCGAAAGAGACCCACCTATCGCGCTCTCGTCGGCGCGGCGCCGCCGGCACGGCCGGAGAGAGAAATCGCGGCGGGCTGAGTGCGCGCGCGCAGGCGCCCGAAACCTCCCGAGCGCAGCCTTCAAAGGCCAACGTGCCGCTGGCCGACGGCTCAGTCGCAAGCCCGAGCTCGCCGCAAGCACGAGCTTCGCACGACGGCCCCCCGATCGACTGCCAATCTGCCTGTCCCGCGTCCTACGCACTCCGCGCTCCTCCGGACTCTTGGCGAATCCGCGTGTTTTCCGGCCCCTGCCCCCGCCGCCGGCCGTCGCGAGCGCGTCTGTGCTCGTTCGAGAAACTTGACTGTGTGATTTTTCAAAAGGAAAAGAAGGGGGAACAGTGCGCAGGAGGCTTTGAGAGCTTTTCCGAGTCCCGGCGTCAACCTTCACGAGCTCGAGGATAAGCCGTCTCTCAGTCGCGACGACGACGGCGAGAAGCGGCTTGAGCCGATTTTACGGGGCCGTGAACCGGAGCGTATCCCCGGATAATTGAGGGATATATCGGCCGAGCGTAGGACCTTCAGCACCGATGTGGCTAATTGGAGCGGCGCGCTAGTCGAGACTACGAAGCGTCGCGCGTAGTAAAGTACTGGGAGCGAGCGCGATGAGAGTCGACGATCGACTCCCGGTCGCCGGCTGATCATCGGGGCGCTCGTTCGTAGAGCACTCGCCGAGCCACTTTTCATCGCGACCCCCCGCGATCAACACGACAACGATCGAGAACGCCAGCCAAACTTCTGCCAGGCAACTCCAGGCCGATGCGACTGCTCGGAATGGCGAACGCGAGCTGCCGCTCGATTATGCTTTTCTGCGGAATCCTCATCCTTGCTGTTCTCCAAGGTTGGTCAACATTTTTTTACTTCTTCTCGAGCAATTTGCCTGTTTCGCGAGCGCTTTTTATATTGTCACAATTACGGTCACAATGCGGATCGGTTCCTTGCGACGAGCACTGCTTACTTTCCATCAGGATAACGTCGCCATATCGTATTAAAAAATGTACGTACTTTTGTGTAAAATCGGCAAGCAAACCAATCACGTGGCGAGCACTGCAATCGAGTGTGATCGTTGCAGTCGAATTCCTCAGCGATTTTACCAAATCACGCGCGGAACAAAAATGTTGTTGCGGCAGTCACTTGACAGTAGCGCGTTGTCCGAAAAATTCGCAGAATTTGTGCACTTCCGTTCGTTCCCATATAAAGCGCCGCGAGAATTTCGAATACTTGCGCAGGGCAATGCGCTTTGACTTAACGGGAGAGAGTTTGAACGACGAAAATATTCGCCGGGGGTAATAAAAAACAATTTTAACTCATTTGCAAAGTCGAAAATATGCGAAAGTAGTGCGTTGGATTAATTGAATTTGGCTGGAGTACGCGTTTAACAAATAATTTTGAAAGTTCGCCAGAGTTTGTCAGAGATAACGCTCTTCTGGCTTAGCGCGCTCTCAAACAATACAAAATCAGATATTTCATAACCCATTCTCGTTCTCTGCGTTTGCACTCATCAAATTCAAATGTTACTATCGAAGTACGAAAAGCATCGGCGGCAAGTCGAGAAGTCGTATTGATCGTCTCGTAGCTCGTGCGGGGAAAGTCGGCGAGCGGAAAAAATGCAGTTCGAAAACGTGTGCATAGCGCAATTGAGAAATCGTTCGAATTACACGGATCGCGCCGCACGCGCGAGCGTTCGGGACTACGTACGTAGCCGCGCATATTTCGCGCGTAGCTGGCCATCCTTTTGCGCGCGAGCTCGCCGTAAGAATTTCTCGGCGTACACGCGTTTGGCATGTAATTCGCCGGCACGCGAACTACTTTCCTTTTGTCTCCTCCAGAATTTTACGCGGGCCTTTCTCTCCTTTACATTTGTTTACGACGTTACGCGTGATATTATGTTCGTCAGAGAGCAATAAAGAGCGAAGGAAAAATGGTGGAAAAAGATGCGCGGAGGATGAAAAAGTTTCGAGTGTCCGCGGCTGGAACAGTATTATTCGCGCAGGGCCCAAAAAGCCAAAGGATCCGCGCGCGCCGAGAGCATGAATTTTTTATGCGCCCAAGGTTCCACGCTGGCGATAAGGCTAAATGAAATTTTGCTGATTGTACGGAAAAAGAACAACCCAGCCGTCTTTTGTCGGCCTTTTACCGCTGCTCTCCGCATGACTGGATTTCCTGATTGTCTTTTATTTAGCATACTCGTTCTAATGCACGAATAAACTTTGGTATGGAGGCCATTCGCTCGCGGACAATACCCTCGGCAGTTGGAAATGATGCAAGCGCGATAAGAATATTGAGTATCCAAACTAGAAGTATAAAAGTTCGCATCAATTAAAGCAGTAAAACTGCCTCTGCTGATATTGAAATTGTTACCGTTAAGGAACTCAAAGGCAAATAGAAAGAAACTTTTATAAAGGTTCAACTTACTTATGGGAACTGAAACTTACCCTTTTTTTCTAGCTAAATGCGGGGCGAACGAGCAGGTGAACCTTTCTCATTTCGCTTATTTAGCTTGCGATAAAAATGGAATAATATTGCCGAGCATGGAAATCGTGTAATGTAATTATTTGGTATTCCACAATACATTCCTATTTCACATTGAACAGTGAAACGGATGCACTCACTCTCAACTTCAATTATAAAAACAAAAACAAAAAAATGGGAGATAGAACGGTCGGGTTAATGTTTTTAATGCAATAGCCTGGGTTCCGGGTACTTTTCAAATATAATCCCGAGCCGAAATGAGCGCGCGCGAGCAGCTGCGAAGCATGAAAATAGGGAAAAAACGGATGCAGCAGACGAACGCGCGAGCATTATCAAGCGAACGCACGTACGGCCGTCGATTTAAATATCGCATTTGGCCGCTCGTGCTCATCAAAATAATCGAGAAACCCGTAGCGTTATGACAATCCAAACACTTGTTCTGTCAGTTAACTGACACGTTATACGCGTGCTCTAGCTCGCGCCATTGCGAGAGGAGCATGAATAATAGTTGTACTAGGCGTGCGTTTATCGGGACATCCAGCGCAAATCACCGATCAAACATTCACAACTGTCGCGAGCGCGCAGTCTTCTGTCGAGCAACGAGGCTTCCACGGAAAAAATAGCCGGCGATTAGCGTCCTAAATAAATCGGCTACACTGCGGAACGAAATCACGCACGAACGTTTTCGCGATGCAGATCATCGCGATGACAACTGCACGTGTATCGGGGGTAGCAAAAGCTTGGGAGCAATTTATGTAGTCGCATGTACGGCAGTGGGGGCGCGCGTCATGTATCATCGTGCGCAGGGAACACAGAAAAAATAACGAGAGAATCACGCCGGGGCAGAGTTCGAGAGCGTGCTGCCGCTGAAATACCGGAAATGAAGTACGCAGCGCCGAGTAAAATGCTCGTGACCGTTGTTTTTGTCACGCCTGCGTCGCTCGCATTGTCGGTCAATAAAATCGAATAGTTTTCGCGCTGTCGTTCGTCGCCGCCCCCGACGATTTTCCAAAATCGAGGAGAAAAGCGCGCTTGGTCGTATAACTCACGGGCCCGCCGTAGGTAAGTCATCCGGGCCGCCGGCCGAGGTGCTATCTTTATTTTAATTGCGAGCTCTTCGCTTGGCGATTGCGCCCGCGCGCTTCGAGCAAACAACAGGTTGAAAAAAGGGGGCGTGCACCGCGCCGTCGTTCGCCAGATAAGATAATGTGGCGATTTATGGACTTTCGCTGTTTCTCTCTCTCTCTCTCTCTCTCTCTCTCTCTCTCTCTCTCTCTGGCCGAGGGCTGCATCTTTTTTTCTCTCGCCTTACTGATATATCCGTGTTTGCGCTGCGCGGGGGTACGCGTTATTCTTGTATTATTTACAAGAATCGCGATTTGCCCCGGTCACGACTAAAGCTCTACATATTGCACTTTCCAGCAGTGCACAGATTGTGCGACGGCTTTAGTGTTATAGCTTTATGAGATTGAGGACTTTAATCACAAGTAGGAATTGCATACGCGTTTCAAGTCCGAAGCTATTTTTTTTTCGTTTCATAGCCGCAATCTTACTTACGATACGATTCTACTGTATTACATATGAACGACAGCTGGATTTGGAAAATATTAATTAATTTCCGATCTTTATTTGCCTGAAGTTGTGGAAATTATATACTGAATAATGGATCCTCAGATAAGATGGCAGTTATTTCGAGAAAAATTCATCTCGCATCAAGAATCAATCCACCTGTAACGAGTGGATGTTTTTGTGATATGGGCTATTTTGACATCACAGACTTTTGTCACAAAAGGACATTATGAAATTAAAAAAAACAATGGTATTACCAATCGTGCAGTGATTGCAATATTTATAATTTGTATTTCGCGTGAACAATTTGGCGGAATACAGTAGGTCTGTTTGCTCAGTAGAACAAGTCGATGATCAGGCATCCACGAGATATCCGTACCTTTTGCTGTGGAATCTTGGCAAACGTTCGTTGATTCGTCAATCTTTCGTCGATTTCCTCGCTATTCAGATTTAAAAAGACGAAGCATACGCGCGTACCCAATTGAGCAAGTTGAGCAGCACAACGACCCTTTCGCCTCGTAAATCATAGCCAAATAGTAATTCGCCGGGGCAATTTGTCACAGGGCACGCTCCGAACGACATTGCGCGAAAAAGCTCTCCCGGCACTGCAAAAAGTGAAGTAGAGAAAGGAGAGGCAGCTGTTTGCAGCGAATGAGCAGCATCTTGTACGTGGGTAATTGCATAAATAAAGCTACGCAGCAGCTCGGTGGCAGTGTAAAAATAAAAGAAGTTCGCCGCTGGAATGGCAGTAGCCGCGGTAGCGGAACGTGAGTCGGCCATGGTGGTGGATTATATGGGCGCGGAAGCGTAGGATAATAAGGTGAGACAGAGGGCGAAGCGCGCGTCCGCCGACGCGTACGTGACCGGAATGGGGCGTCCACAAGAGAGAGAAAGAGCGAATTACTTTGACGAACTCGTTGGGTTATCGCGCGCTCACTCGTTAGGCGCCCGACGCTATGCTCAACCTAGAAATGGAAACGTAATGACGACGAGTCGAGTCCTAGTCCCCCCTCTCCGTCTCCTTTTTCGTCGAGACCTCCGAGCACCTTCAGCAGGCTGTGATTCTTGCCTTTTTCCTCGCTCAACCTAGTGCAGCTCTGCTTTCTTCTCTTTTTTCCTCCTTTTTTTTACTTTTGTTTTTTCGCGCCGGCGTGGAGTGCGAAGTCTCGTCGTAGACCTGGCAAAGGGTAAATAGAGAGTAATTTTAGCCGAAGTCTCGCGGAACCTCAGACTCTTGGCTTCAATTACTACCCCTCGAGTTATTCGGCAAACCAGTTTGAGTTTGTTGTTTGCAAGCTTGATCGTTCACTTAGCAGCGGACATTTTTTCTCTCGTTTCGAGAGAAATTCAAGTGCCTCATTCGCGGAAAACGGTGTTCTGTCATTGATTGCTCAACTGAGAATAATGATTGCAAGTGTATAATTTTATTTCTCGCTGGCACGCATCGAAGTAGAAAAATTACACGCTCGACGCGCTGCGATTACAAACGCTTAAGCAGTAGCCGAGAGATCGCTCGAACGTACGCATCTACCTTGGCTTAAAGTATAAAATTGTTAAATGCCAAACGCGCAAATCAGAGCTGTGCGTTTGAAGTATTCGATCTTAAAGTGGGAATCAATTGATTGAACTTAAAAGGACGTAAATTTCGAATGGGATCAAATATACGAATCGCAGCGATCTTGGAGAGGTGGTTGTTTGCTGACAATCGAATATAGTTTACAGCGAGGAGAAGCGAAATCGATCGATCGGCAGCGGCGCAGCATGCCGCGCTATTTTGTAAGCGGACCACACGGAAAACTC